CGTGTCCGTCTGTCCATCCCCGTGTCCATCCCCGTGTCCGTCTGTCCATCCCTGTGTCCATCCCTGTGTCCAGCCCCGTGTCCGTCTGTCCATCCCCGTGTCCGTCTGTCCATCCTCGTGTCCGTCTGTCCATCCCTGTGTCCATCCCCGTGTCCGTTTGTCCATCCCCGTGTCCATCCCTGTGTCCATCCCCGTGTCCGTCTGTCCATCCCTGTGTCCATCCCCGTGCCCATCCCCGTGTCCATCCCCGTGTCCGTCTGTCCATCCCTGTGTCCATCCCCGTGTCCATCCCCGTGTCCGTCTGTCCATCCCCGTGTCCATCCCTGTGTCCGTCCGTCCATCCCCGTGTCCGTCTGTCCATCCCCGTGTCTGTCCCCCTGTCCATCCCCGTGTCCGTCTGTCCATCCCCGTGTCCGTCCCCCTGTCCGTCTGTCCATCCCCGTGTCTGTCCCCGTGTCCATCCCCGTGTCTGTCTGCCCATCCCCGTGTCCGTCCCCGTGTCCATCCCCGTGTCCATCCCCGTGTCCGTCTGTCCATCCCCATGTCCATCCCCGTGTCCATCCCCGTGTCCGTCCGTCCATCCCCGTGTCCGTCTGTCCGTCCCCGTGTCCGGCGGCGCCCACCTGGCCGCACGGACTGCACGAGCACGACGCGGTCGCCGCTGACGGTGAAGCCGAAGCCATGCTGGTCCCGCTGGATGATCACGCAGCGCTGCACCAGCCCTGCGCACACGGACACGGGACACGGACACGGGACACGGACACGGACACACGGACACGTGACACGGACACACGGACACGGACAGGGGACAGAGGGACAGGAGCAAGGTGGGGAATGAGGCTCTGCAGTCCGGCTTTGGCCCTGAGGAACCCCCGGTACCGGGGCCTGCAAGGCCTTGGGGTCACTGTCCAGCCCTGGCCACCAGCTCCTGTGGCCACCAGCTCCTGTGGCCACCAGCTCCTCTGGCCACCCACTGTCCAGCCCTGACCTCCAGCTCCTGTGGCCACCCACTGTCCAGCCCTGACCACCAGCTCCTGTGGCCACCAGCTCCT